GGCCCAAACTCGAAGTAGAGTAGTTTAGTAGGGTCAGCTGATACTAGAAATCTACTCTACTTCAAATTTGTGCTCGAATAGTAGGCGTCAGAGTCGTTCGAATCACCACGCACTTCGCCGCGCAATTGGCCGCGCGCAATCTCGGACGCACGTAAGTTCCGTCCCCCCACGTGAAGAGTTCGTTCGACCGTCTCAAATTATGGTTACGAAAGATAATTGCAGACAATCTCACGTTCAGCCGTGACCGATGGAAAGTCGACTGTCTGGAAAGGGCACACCTCCATTTTCCATAGTAAATCGACCAGTGTTCTGTTGGTGCTGTATTGATGCCAGCATTGGAGACCGCGATAAGTCTAAAAGAAGCTTGTCAAGGAGTGACACAACGCTAACGTGATCCTGACGGTAGTTCATATAGATAGCAATATGAATGTAGTCTCAATGTGGAACGGAATCATATACATTGTGTATAGTTTCTGAGATTGCTCACTCAAAAGTGTCATAATCAACGGCATCTAGAGACCGCAGCTTTCTATTTTGGGACAGCGATAGTCTCACCAATAGAGCTCAAGAAATTGAACATTCATGAGCAGATACTGTTGCAGGAATCAGCTCGAAATGAGGAGCTCGAACTCAGCAATGAGGATTGCCATCGCTTCTCTCTTGCAATAGTTTTATTTCCTTCATTCCACACCTCAGCGGCGAAAAAACAACACACACGTTCACATCACTTTAGCAGCGATCCGATCTAATCGTAAATTGCCTTTTTCTATAAAAACTCAGCGGGAAAAAACCTTAACTAGAGTAATGACGTATCCTAGATCCATCAGATTCATGAATTTTCTTTTTTGAATATGCTGTGCCAGTTGAAGAGTTGGGATTGTGCTGTTCTTTGAAGCGCCCAGTAACATCGCTGTCAGAATGATGCATAACGTTGTAGAGATGGCATTCTCTCAATGAGGAGAGCTTCTAAACAAGCCCAAGAAGGTGTGGTCCCATGCAGCAATATATGTTTTCATGTGAGCGCAGCAAAGAATCCGCTCGGCGAAAACGCAAGGACTTGTGATAAAGTGGGATCTCTTGGTTACTATTTTAAGTCCAATAGGTTCGCTTGAACTTCATTGATCCTTTCTGCTATCGATCAAACGCAGTCTGCCGATTTGGTTTCTACTTGCCTCAGCTGCAAAATACTTTCACTGATCTAGAGCACTGAGTTAATGTATTGTTCCTCTAATGCTCGCTAAAATATTATTAATATACAACTGCTTGAAGATACAGTTCACGATGATTTTAGCTAATCCAGAGATGAGAATGAGACCAGAAAAATGAAGATGAAGGGGCGCTTGAACGAGTTACAAAATGAAAGTCGTTGCGTACGTGTGGGTCCTGTTGCGCATAGCTGACTACAGTGAGTGAGGATGCCCTTCAAAACTCATTCACTAATAAGCAGAAGTTGATAAACCCTGATAACAGCGAAAGTAGCTCACCTTTTTCAGCCTCATGACGTAGAAATTTAAAATAGGGATCGCAGACAGAGAATAATAGGAAGAAGAAAAACATAACCTCATCACTGGGCGATCAGCCGATTGCCTGCTGACTGCATGGGTCCTGGCGCGAATTTTGCAATCTGTATCGTCTCGACCCTCGTCTGACACATCATCGGTCTAGAGGCGGGGAGTCCGGGCTATCCGGTAATGGAGTTTTGGGACCCAAGAGAGTCCCTCCTGTTACCCCTGGAGCCGCTGGGTTTTCCTTGGGGGAGGACTTTGAAACCACTTCATCGTGAACTGCGCCTTCAACGGAATGGCGAAGATTTCAAAACAGTGGAAAGGCGGTTGGATACCGAAGGTAGTCTTATTCATTCTGCCAAACGGCTTACCAAATCGGATACCACTGAGTGTGAGAAGTCATTTACAGCAGTGTTGATTTGATCGTTAATACAGGCCTTCGAATCAAGTCTAACACTCGGAGAAGTGCAGCATACAGGATCCAATCTGAAAGCAAATTTCTAGTAGCAATGAGCCCAGCCATTGATAACAACATGAAGCAAAAATGCCACATATGACATGTATTGAAACGTAGTGACACGGATGTGTGGTCTCTTTGTAGTGTATCTATCGTGTGATTGTATTAGGTTGTCGGAAAAGTATTTGCGCATTTTGGTTTCCATGTTGTGAAATCTTTGGGGATTGCTCTAGAGCCTTCACTGCGGAATATGTGTAAGTGCAGGTCGATGCGCTCTCCACACCATATCTGCCGTAGCATTTCGCAACGGTTATGGCTGCAAGAATCGCTCTCGACTCAAAGCTAGTCAGATTATCTTTTCTTCATAAGTTCAGAAAAAACGTTAATCGAAATTGAGCGACAGGGGGAATATGCGATGCGGTAGGACCATTCATTGTCTCTAATAGCACATCAAGAAGTTGGTACAAGAAGTTCAAAAATGGCTTCTTTGACTGGACTGAAGAACCACTATCTAGGAGACTAGCTGAGCTCAATGTTGACCATCTCCTGAAGCTGGTTGAAGAAGATTCTAGGTTTAGTACCCATCAACTGAAACAGGAGCTCATAGCCATCACGACACAACAGCTGTCCATTTGCATCGCCTTGGAAAGACATGGAGATTCGGAGATATGGATAAGTTTTGATCTGGGTGGTCACGACCTCCAAATGAAGAGGGATTCATGCCTAAACTTGATGACTTTCCGACGCACCTTCGCATGGCTGCAAGACTTAATCACTGGCGACGAGAAGTGTGTTCCCTACTTAAAACACACGAGGAAGCGTCAGTGGCTTAGATGCGTAGAGCATGGAATCCCGACCTCCAATCCCGAATTCCCACCTCAGAAGGCAACGCTAAGCGTTTGTAGCCATTCAACAGGATCGTTCACTGGGACTTTCTACCACCAAACTCCACTGTCAGCACTGAAGCCCAGTGTGCTCTGTGGACCGGATTGCTGCAGCTCTAAAAGAGAAACTCGGGAAAGTCTCTTTTCTCCACGACAGTGCTCGCCCACACATTGCGAAGGAGACCCACAAGAAGCTTCAAAGCCTGAGATGACATGTTATGGCCCACCCACCGTATTCACCAGACCTAACTCCAACGGATTATCATCTGCTCCTGACGCTGTCGGGCCTTCCGAAAAATAAGAAGTTCGATTATGTGAATCAACTCGAGACGTACATTGACGAGTTTTCCTCCTCGAAACCTCAGGAATTCTACGCAAGCAGGAACCACAAGTTGCCTGGTGAATGGCAATACCTTGTCGATAGTCAAGGTGCATATGCATGTTAATTATTAGTTGTCGTGAAGGAAAAAAATAAATTCAAAAAAAGATTGCAAAAGGCGCAAATACTTTTCCGACAACCTAATATTTAAGGTGTATGCACAATCTATAGTATAGTGTGGTATGTGTATATGCAGAAATTCTGTATTGATGTTTGGACTGATAAGTACTCGTTCGAATTTAGAGCCATAATCGTTTATCATGATAAAAATGCTTCATCTACTCCAGAATGTGAGGTTGAGCACGGAAACTCCACTGAATCTACTGCTTCACTCTGAAATTCTTTTTATCATTCTTCAACCGTAGAATCGGCAGCCTTGAGTGAAATATATTTAGCCAATAAGGAGGTTGTTTGCGAAAGTGTCTACTGTTCGTTGCTCCTTAGCTGCCTTTCAAATCGATCATGTCACGCTAGGGCACTTGTGGTCACTCATAAGGAAAGGATGCTTGGTCGCAGGGGGCATTCGATTAAGATGTATACCACCGTAGGTGTTTTTAAACGCTGATCTCAAATCTGCCTTCCTAAGCCGGAAATCGATTCTGGGCAGAAAGTCATGGAACTGTCATCCCAATGTTTTATGCCCTTCTATCTAACACGTAACCGAGCCGTGCAGCGCCACATTATCGCGCAAATGTGCGAAGTAGCGATGGATCCCAGTGCATGACAAAAGAAGTTATAAACGCTTGCAAAAGGTTTTGAAGCCTTTTTCCGCTTCCCTGTGCGTAGAAGTACAACTTAAAACGTACAACTGCACGGCAAGAAGACTGTTTCGATCTATGGTTCAACCGGCACAAGGACATCTTAGAGGTCGACTGTCAAGGGATGGAAGGAGCGAAAAAGACACGCTTGCTCGTTTTTGCTATAGACGCGACAAGCCACACTGGCTTCGCTCGCCACATTCTGCCCAAGGAGCCAAGAGACTTGAACTGGACGGACTTTGTCCTAACGCTAAAGACGCTACTTGGCACCTTGAAAAGCTTTTTCGCCGTCGCTTCGAATGCTTCCGGATGAGCTTCTCGCTCAACGGAGCCATTGACAAATTTGTCAACTTACTCTAGGCTCGCGCTCTGGAAGCCAACTTTAAGGACACCAGACAGGATACGCCGGAATGCCTAGCCCTAGAGCTTGCCTTCCAGGCCCGGAGTTGGCCGACTACCGCGTTCGCTTCCTTCATAAGCTGTACGGAGACGGGATGCTCACCGTCGACGATTTAGCCAAGAAGTACCGCATTTTCAAGTCGATCAAAGACGTCTCAGAAATTGTTGAAGCCGTCAACTCACCAAAAATTCGCGCCGTCCAGAGGAGGTAGAAACAAAGCCTTCCCATCACATCCAAGTCTCGGATTCCGCCACCACCATGTCCGATCTGCCAACAACAACACTGGAAGGATTGCCCAAAAAACCTCAATGCTACCAGTGCCGCTCAGGACCTGCACGTTTTAGAACCATACGTGGAACAAATAGCGGGTGATTAAAAATGACTGCTATCTCTATTCAGAAGCCCGTATCACCTATGATGAATCGAAGGTTTGCGATAAGTTCCAAGCACGCAGTCATAATACTTGAAAACTACAGAATTCCGATTAAATGCGCCACTGAACAAGCAGCAGCACTGCGGCAATTGTACCTCTCACTTCGAAAGCATTTGCTGCAACTCATAGTCGGGAGCCGGCTGCAGTTGTCCTGTAGAATCGATATCATATATAAAATCAAGACTGATTAACACTCTTCCCATTCTCACTCCAGCGAGAAAATCAACGTGAAGGATGAGCAGCTAATTTTATCCTAAAGAGAAGGTAAAGTTACCTACGTTACGTTTCGTTCGAACGCGTTTATCAACAGTAGTGAGTATGTCACTGAGCAACCATGTAGTATCCAATTTGGGAAACTACTGGGTTGCTACGATAACATAGAAGCCCACATTTCATGTCAAACCAACGTTTCCTCTTTTATTACAGCGCAGTGTGAGGAGCAAACATTCTCAATTTAATGTGGTCCCTCAAACCGATCAAGTATTGTGAATCTCAGCTTCACTCACGCCGTAATTGGAAATAACTGTCACACAGTTGTCAGAGATGTAACTTTTGCCATGAGAGGATTTCTAATTTTCATGAAATAAGCGATAACAATGCTGTATTCGATGGAACGTATACAAAAGTGCCACAACCCGCCGAATGGTGGGTTGTGGCACTTTTGTATACGGTGGGAAAGGGTAAGAATGCCCGACGTGAAGCCACTTTTGAACAATATGAAAAAATATTGGAAAATAACGCTGATATCCGCAACAGCGGTTGCAGCGGGAGTGATAATAACATACATATTTCGCCCATTAATCGTTGAGGTCGCGGTCAAGATACTCCCTATTATCATCACTTGTGGTAAGAAAGTTGCCGTTGGCATATTGAAGGTAGCCTGGTGGGCCTCACGACTCAACCTGTCAACATTACGACAAGGGAAGAACGTTGTAAGGCGTTGCCAAAATTGACTATCCATCCCAGGATTCAAACTTGATCTATTTCCACTACCCACAACCTTGTACAAAGCACGGTGTAAATAGTCCCAGACAAATCGTAAACGGGCGGAGTTGTGATGAGAGGGCGTGTACAAAAGTTATAAACATTAAGGTCCCTACATAAAGTCAATATTAGCCCAGAGAGCTAAAATGGCCCAGTACGAACCCCTGTTTGACGAAGACCACCTCCACGCGGAGCTCTTGAAGATCTCAGATCACAAGAGCGACGTGATTCGTTTCAAGCTCGACGGACTCAGGTCCACCATGTCGTCCCGCGTCGAGCAACTTGAAGCGACAATCAGGAGATTGTCACTTATTCAAGACTCGTTGGAGGATTTTACCGCCCTAAAGCCTGCCTTGGAAAGACTTATCGAGAGTACCACTCCTTGTTCAGCCTGTCTTTTCCGCACACTACAGGAGTACGAGGAATCGCACCGTAGCGGGCGCTGCCCGCGTTTCCCGAGGGCTTATGCACGCATTTTCCAAGTTTGGGACTTTGCGAGCAATCCCTTAGCCTGCTCACGAAACAGCGTGTGAGGTCAGATGCTTGATATGCCGCCAGCCTCACAACGCCCTGTTGTGCAGTGCGAGAGCTGCTTCTCATCCTAGAGAGCGGAAGTTCTAAGATTTCACACTATATTCGCGCTATATCCTTACTATACATAAACCGCGAATGTCCGTTTGTGTGTTTGTCTGTTTGTCTCTAACACTATCTTATATGGCGCCCTTCGGAAATCAACTGTAGCAGCTCAGTCAGGTTGGAACAAGTGTGGAATGAACCGGACTCTTTGGGTACACGTGGCCACCAGGGGCGGAGCGTGCGCGAAAGCTGTAGTTCAATGAAAATCTGCAACTCCTGTTCTCCTGGGTCTAGAGTATACAAATTTGGCTGAGATGCAGGCGGTTAGTTAGGAAAACTAATGGCAGGTGGCAGGTGTAGTCTCCGCCCGTTAGGGGCAGTGCTTCCTCAGAAATAGTAAATTGGACCTGGGTTGTTGAAATATGGCAGAGATGTAGGTGGCAAGATGGGAAAACTGATGGTACGTGACAGGTGCAGGCTCCGCCCGTTGTGGGCGGGGCTTCCTCAGAAATAGTAAATTTGGACCTGAAGCGTTCAAATTTGGCGGAGATGTAGGCGGCAAGAAGGAAAACTAATGGTGTTGGTGCGGTGTTTGCGCGGCATAGTAAATATGGACCTGCCTACCAGTTTCGCATAAAATTACATCAAACAATATATTGGCCAACGAGATCGTCGAGCGCTAGGCTATTAAATGTCTACTGCGATGGGTGCGAATAAATTTCAAAGTGTAAATACAGTGCGTCGCCAAATGATACAGCCACCGCTGATTTTCCCAAAAACTCACTGTGTACCATGTTTCCGAAAAACTGCCAAAGTAAAAAATGTTTCAAATTTGAATTGCAATTCGCACATTATCACCAAATCACAGCCGAGAACACAAGCATTTTTTTGGTCAATTTTTCAATAAAGAGTGCTTTTCCAACGTTGCAAAATGATACAGCCACTAACAAAATTAATTTATTTAGCAACAAATATGCAACAAGGAGAGAAAGTTGCAAAGTCAATAATCAGCTGACCCACCATTCTTTCGAATTACCTTGATAATACGGTGGTCTAGGCTCGAATAAAAAATCATCGGTCAGCTCCTGGGCAACTTGGTGCCATGCTTCGACACACTTTTTAACGCTTTTTTCTAACGCTTTTTTTCAGCTCCTCGACGCCTCAGAATTGTTTTTTTGAGCTTAGATCTTCCGCACCATGAAGCCCCATACATTTTACATCGAATCCAAACCGGAGCTGTTCGCTGAACAGGGCAGAAGGGCCGAGAGAACCAAGCTTGGGTGCTCCTGCTAAGGTAAATTGGAGCGTTATCTTTCATAAAAACAATGTTTCGGTGCAGATCCTGACGCCAAGAAGGGAGAAGTGCATGGTGCATAACAGTTCGACAAAAGGATGAGCAGCTCATCTCCTTTGATACAAATCATAAACGGGTAAGCCCACTGGACGAAATCCACTGCGACCCAAACCATTACTCTCATCCCTTGAAGTTGCGTCTAGAAAACTGAAGTTTCTTTTTTCTCAGATCTTGCCAGTGAAATCGGTCAAGTCTGGACCATCACAATTGAACTTGTTTTCATCGGAAAAACCGACTCGAAGAATAAAAATTATCAAGAGAAGGAAGATAAAATGTCAGCACATGAAGAACACCTTATTCCACTCGGTTCGGCTGCACCGTCTGACGAAAGCGACCCGATTTCCATTTTCCGCTGGAAAATGGAGTTGGACTTACTGATCACCTTCCAAAAAGTGCTTTCTGAGACGAAAACGACCGGATTTCCATACAGGACTTAGTAGAGTTCGATGCTTTCCTCAAAGTACGGCACTTGTCTCTGTCGGAAAGCAGCGAAGGACGTCCAGCACTTCTTCTGGTTTATCATAGGCTTCAGGACTTTGACGAAATTATCCAAAACTGTGTGACATCGACCCAAATCTCGCGCGATCCTGCGATTTGACAGTCCCTGCTCTTTTTTCGCGAGGATTTGACCTTATTCGAATTCCGAAAGCAAATTTCTCTTCCCATTGCCTGAAAATGAAGAACATTACATAATGAAGCAATTTCGTTGCGTTGAACTAAAAAACGACACGAAGACATGAAGTGGCTGTATCATTTGGCGACGTTGGGAAAGCACCCTTTACTGAAAAATTGACCAAAAAAGTGCTTGTGTTTTCGAGCTGGAATTTAGTGGTAATGGGCGAATTGCAATTCAAATTTGACACATTTTTTACTTTGGCAGTTTTTCAGAAACATTAAATGCTGTGAGTTTTTGGGGAAATTAGGGGTGGCTGTATCATTTGGCGACGCACTGTAGATTCCAATTTCATCTCCAGTGAAACACAGTCATTCCACAATGGTAAGGAATAATTAAGAAATTAACGATCCCAATGTCTTTTTTGATTTTCCGGATTGTCTCAGTGAGTATATAGATAAACGAACGTGAATGGTTGTCAAATGCAGTTTGCTAGGAAGGTGCGCTCCCAATAAACGGCTTATGACGCTATTATTTTGGATGGGAGAACATTACTGTCCATTTTCGAAAGAGGGCGGTTACTGAGTTGTCAAGACAATTACGCTTCAGGTTATCTCGAGGAAATTCATCTATTACTAGACATGCACGGTATCGTGCGCAGCCCAACTGCTTTTTTAAATACAGATGAGTTGAGCCGAGCTAAACTCATAATCCGGTGCTCAGGGAGTGTTGGGTGTATGTATGTGTGTGTATTTTGCCAAAAATTTTTACCCCCTGCTCAACTGTACCAGAGCACCCAATTTGGAGGGAACGTTAGCGACGGGCTATTTTTACACGAAAGGAGGAGTGCCCGGCGTCAGCCGGGCGATCCCATGAGAAATATAAGAAGGTTGACTTAAGGAGCTGGCACTGATTTCGAATAGATTTTCCTTTTTCGAGTTTGTTTGTGCTGATAAGTGGTGAAGGCAACAGGTAGAGGCGAAAAAATATTTTGCTAGTTTTACTCGCTTCTTATGATGGATAGCGTATAACGTTAATAATCCCTGTGTAAAACGTGAAAGCAGTAGATTCTTTCATCGTGTAGAAAAAAAAAGTCGTTAGTCATCCATTAACGATGGACTCCATTTCTAAAACACTAGAATACATCCGCTCAGAGTTATCTTCGAGGGAGTCCAGAAGGTCATGAAACGCTCACTGGTTCAGCTGCATTCTGCACTGACTGCCAACATATTCCACAACTCCGCTCAACCGCACACCACCGCGTCCAGCCGATCATTCAACCGCGACTCACTGCGTCCAGCCTATCAACACCGCACCGAAACTAAGAAAATCTCCTGTTGTTTGTTAATTTTTTTGTTGGCGTAGAGAATGCCGCAACCCCACGACCTCTTACCAGGGAGGGGTAGTCTACTTATCTTGGAACTTTGAATTCAGACCCGGATAAACTGATAGAGTTTTGAATGCTGTTTACGAAAACGGAAATTAAAACTGCAAAATGATTCTCCTTAAAAAGTGATGGGGGCCCGGATTTCGCTCG